CTAGTTATGAGATTTCTACTCTTGTTACTTATCTTCCCTGTAAAAAATAAACAGAACATACACTTTTACGTTTTACTATTTTATATTTTTCTTAAAGAGGTAAGATTGTGCTTGTCTTTCTTAACACAATTATAAACATTAACTGATTCTAACATTATGAAAAATAACTCTTTGAGATATTCTGGAGGGACTTTGAGATCTTTCATTCTTAAAGGTATTTAAGATCCTTGACACCTGGCTCTAAGTGAGCCTGCTTGAGCAGTAGTGATGGCCCAGATGCCTTTTGGAGGTGCCTTCCAACCTTAACAATTCTGTGATTCTGTAAGTCATTATGATTTACAGCAATATCTCCTACTAGATGGAAAACCATGGTTTTCTTGTTTACTGATTGTTTACTGATTAGTCCTCTTCAAAATTAAGAAACAGAAGAGGATTTTTCTCCTGTTGGTTACGCATAGATACTATTGTTTCTGGGATAACCTGAAACTGACTTGGATTGATTATCAAACAGTTTTGGTAAATGACAACTTAATACCATTTTTTGCCTTAGAATGTCAACTGAATTCAAAGCATGATAAATTTGTTTCTTCCCCTCTGACCTGAAGCGTACACCTGGCCGGAACAAGCATCCAAACACTACTAACAAAATGTCAGTTATCTTCACTAAAAGGCTATTTGTGATTATGAAAGAGTACCTATCTCATAGCAGAAGATATTTTTTCATCAAATGCAGTCCCCAGCACCTTCAATACACAAACATTTTCAATATGCACCCTAATCCTTAATTGTTCATATAAAAGATGCAAAGTTGCTCATAAAGTATGCAGACTTCTCACCTAATTGCAGCATGATCTCACTAATTTAGTCCTCAATTTCCCCCTACTCAAAACTCTCATAATTCACTGGTTTCCATATCTTGTTATCTATTCTTTCATCCTCAGAAAATGGGGGAAAGACAAAGGCATATTCATTAGCAAGATCCTTAGCTGTACAGATTTTAATTCTGTTTAAAGGCAAAGTGGCCAGAAGGTGAAATACAAGAGCGTACATTTGAAACAGGATGGAACTTTTCTTCCTTTTGATCAGCACAGGAAGAAGGATGTCAGCAATCAAGGTAGGAGACCTTGCAATAAAAGAAAATTAAACATGCACAAGGGAAATGCAGAATATTCCTGTGAGTCACTTTATAAACCAAAATCTTCCCTAAATAGATGACTTGATAGCTCCAAATCCAGTTCAATGACATACAGATGATTGAAGAAGCAAACAAAATCCAGCTCTCCCATGTGGGTAAGCCTCTGAAAAATGGTGTATTTAAATCATCAAGCTTCACCACAATTGGACCATAATTACAAAAATAACCTTCTCCAGACTCTCAAAACTCCTAAGATACTTTTAACTCTGAGTGTGAAGTAACTTGGTTTCTAAGACCTACTAAAGCACAGAATTACTCACTCGATAGGGGTTGGGAGAAAGAGTCCAAATAAAACCAAATTCAGTTTTTATCACTAGGACTGAATATGGAAGAGGCCAAACATCTAAGAGTCTCACCTTCCAAATCTTACAGGCAATTCTAATCTTGCATGAAGTGTGCAAGTTTGTCTCAAAGCAGGTTATCTAGACTGCATAACAAATGAAGCAATAGAAACTAGAATTTATTTCACAGGCTAATGTCAACTGCCTAACAGGCAATCAAGTCATAGAAATTCAAAAAAGATCCAAAAGCTTATCTTTAAAATGTAAACAAATTCCAAGACTTGATGAAAATGCATTTAACTTCAAACATTTCATCTCATGTGTCACTCTTCACTGTTAAAATACTGAAGAAAAAGAGAAAGGGTGCTGTAAAAAGCCATTAATAGTACATTTTGATTATCTGTGTACTCAGCTGTTGAGCCCATTGTCTGTCCCACACCACTTCAAAATAAGATTAGTACCAAATGCAGCACTAAACTCATGGCATGTTTGTGGAAACAAAAGCATTAATTAGACTGCCTGAAACAAGCATCAGGAGAGGTAGACATGGGATCTTGTGATGGCTTTTCTAAAATTCACCTCATGGGATGTTTATTTGGGTACAGCATAGAATGAGTTTTATGCACCTTATACTTTTAAAGTCCTAGACCTATTAATTGAAGCCCTCTAATATATTTCCTATGTGCAATCTACATTCTATCTCTGTGAGAACAATAAAATTAATTTATTTTCAAAATTCTATCTTTTCTCTATTTACAAAATTTTCACATTTTTCATTTTGATTTTTAATACCATGCTAACATTTAAGAAATAATAGCAAAGGGTTTTTTTAATTCTTGAAATGAAGTGAAAATTAGAAGTACAAAACCGAGAAACAAGGGCATACAGCTTAGAATTAATCTGATACAAGTGTTTAAATTACACCAACAAGTAAAAAACGTTAAAGTGCAGAGTAACTAACAACTATAACAGAACATAAAAAGCCATAGGAAAAGATACTATAAATACACTAGAAAAGGAGAATAAATTAAAATACAGAACTATTACATCAAAGAGAAGGAAAGCAAGTAAGAGATGATACAAAGAATTCCCAGTGTTCAATACTTTCCCTGCTTCAGTCTTTGCCAAAAAAAAATCAATTGCAGCCAGATGCTTAACACTAGCGGTTTTAAGAGGAAAAACTGCAAGCCAGACAAAGGAAGCTGAAAGATATGTTGGTGATTTAAATACATTCAAGTTAGCAGACTCTTGTGAAACTCACTCTAAAGCATTTAACTGAAGAAACCTCTAATCCATTAGCAACTGCCTTTCAGGAACATAGAGGACAGATAAGGGCAAATACATATCTTTTAAAAAGAAAAAGAGAAGATGTGGGGAACTACCAACCACCAAGTCTAAATCAGACAACAGCAAGAATCAGACAAAACTGTTAAATAAATAATGTATCAACATCTAATGGAATAGAAAGGTGATAAGAATGAGCTAACATGAATTTATCAAGAATGAATCATATCAAATTAGTCTAATTGCATTCTCAATTGGGAAACTTGCCTAGTGGATAAGAGGAAGATGCAGATGCAAAATACTCCAGCTTTTAGACTCTGTTTACTATCCCAGGTTATGCTTCAGTGAAAAAAAAATTAGAGAATTACAATCTACGTGAAAACACTGCAAGGTAGAATAACATCTGGTGGGGAAAAAACACACTTACTGAGTATCTTTCAAGGGCTGGTTGTCAGATCTGAAATGGGATCATGAAGAGGTCTGACAATATTTCCATTAATGATCTGGATGAAGAAATAGAGAGTACATTCATGAAAGTGAATTATCACTTATTATCACGCTGCGAGTGATTTAAAGCACTCTGGGGGATGGGAGTCAAATTCCATATTATCTTGACAAACCACCAGAAAGCATCAAGTACTAGCAAGAAACAGTGAAGAATGTTTCATTTACGAAATAACTATGAAAAACAGCCTCCAACAATGGTGATCAGGAACATTCAACCAGTTCAAGTGTAGGACCCAGAAGAGCTGAAGTTTTCCACTCCAGTTAGAAAACTGTGGGGCAAGGAGAGGTACAGAATGCTGCAAAATCTATTTTAGATATAAGGAAGTATAGGTATTGTTCTAGGTAAAAGTGGAAACTTCACAATATTCTGAAGGAAAGACAAAGATGTAAGATTGAAGAGTGGATTTAGGCGTTAATTACTGAACTTTCACATCTCATTGGTTTGTGTCTCCAGAGAGTGACTAAATAACCCTTTCTGAAATTCAAAATAATTGTTTCTGTATCTGTATATACCTTCCCTACAAGTCTCTAAAGGAGAAAAGCTTGAAACCTACACTCACATCCATCACAGTCAGGCAATAATGAGGCTCCAAACAAGAGATGTTGACCAGAGTTGGTTTAGCTCCTTACAGGCAGATAGACCAATTTACTTGAAAAGTATTTCAAAAATCTCCATAACTATACCACTATAATACAAGTTTGAAAATTGCTCAGAATATAATTGTAGTGATCAACTTAAAACATTCGGGAGAGTGTGATTTGGGAAAATTAGTTTTGGATATTTGGTACAATTTGGAAAAATCCTAAATCTCAAAATTCTTTACAAAACAAATCTTCCATTCCTCATTTAGCTCTGTCTCTGACCTCACTATCTGTAAATTCTCCAGTGAATCAAGAACTGCCAGGAATAAAAACTTAATGAGAGAAGGAATAAACGTTTCTCACACAAGTATCATGCCACATCTAGTTTTCATGTAGCATGGCGAACAGTACTTGTCATCATTTCATACTTTAAAAATTGTTAGCAGTATTTGCTCCCACAAATGTATTTCAGAATTCTCTTCTACAGGAAAGAAAGCAAAAGGAAAAGAAAGAAAAAAAAAGAAAAAAAGAAAAAAAAAAGAAAAAAAAAAAAAAAGAGCAGCTATCTCTGATTATATCCAGTAATCCTCAGAGCTATTCATTACAATACTGTTTACGGGATAATATATGGGGTTTATTATGAAATAACTGTATTTCATGTTTCTGAGTATTTATTTGAGATGCTTTAAAATATTTTAACTTCTTTTGAAAACTAGAAGGTGAAAGAAAGCAAGGATACAAAACAGCTAAATATTTTTCAATAACAGGTCTGAACTCCATCAATGAGGTAAAGGTCATACAAAGGTTAATCCCATTTAACTACCACACAAAGGAGCAATCTCCCTGCTGCATGTTCCCACCATTTTCATTGAACCAGCCTCTTGTGTTGATCTCTTTATAAGCTAATTCAGCTCAGTAAACTGGCAGAAAACTAATGTAAGAAAAAAAAGTGCAGGGGTAGTAGTTTCAGTTTCCAGGAGAGCTCCTGAATTATCTCAGATAATCTGTATACCTTATCAATGGGAGTGTAACTGCTGATGTCAATGACCTTGGTCTTCATTGAATAGAAGACCACTTTCCTGAAATATATACTTCCAAATTACAATTCAGGCCGCATGGTTACATTAAGAAACTAAAATCAAACAACTTACTGCGAGACAGATTCTCAAGGGCTTTTCCAAGCTTTTTGCTCTCTTGAAGAATATGATTTAGTTCATCAAAATCATGGTTCTCCGGTTTTGTCTTCCAATCCCATTTAGGATGCTCTATTGACCTTGGCACTAAATATACACAGATATATAGATGAAGTTTAGATTTGGTACTTCACACTCCTACAGTAGAAAAAAATCTGCACAGTGAATTTACAAGCTCAAGTATCTTCGGTGGAAATTACTTAACTATCCTTTACTTTAACTGCTGGAAATACTTCCTTTGGTCAATGTGAAGTAAAAGTATCTATGAACAAATGCGTAACTGAATTATTCTTGCAACGGAATGAATTGGTAAACAGGATAATTAACATTTAATAATTGAATTATTACTAATGCAATTTAAAAAATGTATTTAAACTATTGCACATGATGGTATTTCATTTACAACAAAATAGAATTGTGTGGCCTAAGGGTCAATAAGAAAAAATGTCAAAACAAGAATGAGTAACTGGTACTTCTGGCTTTCCCAGTTATTTTATCAAGAATCAAAAAAAGTATTTTAGATACAGCTTCAAAACAACATTTTTCTTTTTCAAAAAATCATAAAGTGTAGATAACATTTCATAAAAAACAGTGAAACAAAGTAAGTCTTTATCATTCATGTTGTACAGCCTCTAATCTTCATTTCATTACCTAAACAAACTCAGCCTTTGGGAAGCACAGACCTGAGCTCATTATCTATTACCAAAGCTTTTAATTTTGAAATAACACTATCTCAATTGCTAAGTTTACCTACAACGAAGAGGAGTGTCTGAGATATATAGAACACACAATGAGCAGAGCTTCACTGAACAAAGTGAACATTTTGAACAATTTGTAGAAATGAAAACAAAAACAATGCTGTTTCTAGAACTGCAGTTTAACATGTTCTTTTTGCCAGTGTTCAGAATTAAGTGAGCTTCTGTTTTGCCATGAAATGCAACAGTTGGGTTTTCTCCAAACACAGCATTACATTCATACAGGTATGAAGATGATGATGTATAGTCCACCTTTTCACCAGAAAGGACGAGTTGCATTTTTACCAACCACCATTTACCAGTCGCTGACCACTCACTTAAAAATAACTTCAAAGAAAAGCCTAAAATATCTAATATATCCTGGCCAGCTTCAAAATTGTTGTTTACTATTTTGACAGCTGTCAACTAATGTATGCTTATAAACATCATTTTCACTACATGCTAAGAAGACAACTAACAGACTCCTACAGATTGTGCTAAAAAGGTGGTTTTGTGATAATTTGGAACTTCAGAGTGCTTTTATGATGATAGGAGGAAATCATGCTCAGACATCAAGTCTGATAGCTATTATAAAATGTTTTAAATAACTAGGTATTGAAATTTGCCTTAATGCTGACTTCCCTCTGTGTGAAAATAGAATCTGCTCCACTTTGCATCAACTTCAACTTTCCCTTGTGTAGTTAAGTCAATAGTCACCTTTTCCAGGTAAAATAACGGGACAAAGTTATGTTCAAGTCTTTCTTTCACAAATTACATGATTCTACCTCTTGCACCAACTCCATAAACCAACTAATCTTCAAAACAGATATCTATAGAGTCTGACAATCCAGAGTATATCCTGATCTGTAGCACCCATAACCTGGAACCTGGCTATTAAGGAATTTAATATATTAGACTGCAATTACAGACATTCTCAAAGACAGAAGACAAAAGAGACATTGAAAGAGACCTACAGAGATAAGAATTGAAGGAAAGGGACACAAGAACCCTCAATAAGGAGAAGGGAAGAGAGAAGCAAGTTGGAGTGTCAGAGTCTTGTTCTGCTCTGTGCTTAAAAAAGGCAAGTAATATATTTCCTTCTCAGGATAATGAAAATAATGAGTTACAGTGGCTCCCAGTAAATACATACAGGCTTTAAGGTATTAGAATATGTGCAGTCTCTACTCAGATGATCGGCTTGTAATTTCTGTTGATATTTAAAAATTTCAAACACTATTTTATAATTCCCTGCTTCAAGAACTGCTAAGTCCAAAGTTACATAAATTCTTGTGCAACAAAAATTGATTCCATTCACAGACCGTAGCACGTACAAATTAAACAGCACAACTTCAGCATTTTTCATCCTTTTTTTTTCTTATTTACAGAAAACAAAATGTTCCACCTAGTATTTTTCAAAACTATTTCTAACTGTGAATATAAATTTTTAATAAACTAGAAAATAAATTCTATAAAGAGTTCTCTCTATTTTCACCCACCTTTGTTTTACATTGAGGTCACATGCTCCTTTTGAGGCCTTTTGCAGTCATCTTACCATCACCCTTCTGTGTGCTAACAATATATTCTACAGCATCACTCACTAGCAGTATGACAGACTTTTCTTTCTATGTTTATGCACATCAAAAAAATCTCACAGTACCACCAGAATACAAACAGGCAACAACTTAATATAGTAAAACCATATAAAAAGATAACTGAACCTTGGAGCTTCCAGGTTGCAGAAAATTTCCACAAGCTGGAATTTGATACCATGTCAGTTTGAAACAAAACCAATTTTTCAAATTAAACCATACAATTTTGAAGCAAAATTTGTCATGGGACAGAAGCTGGATGAACTAAATATAAGTTCTACTTGACAGTTGTGGAGCTTCTAGGATCAGCAACTGCCAAGTATATGGATCAACTCACATCAGGTGAAAAAGAAAGTCTCAAGACTCTTGTTCTGGAAAAGTAGGGACACTTGCTCAAGACAGTGACCTGGTTGCTAATTTCAGAGAAATGTCTGACAAACACAGGAAGCTTGGACTGCAGCTCACTAGATGGATAGTGGGAAATCAGTCAAAACCATGGTGGAAATTTGCTTTTCATACTGGTGTACAATCAGCTGTGCTCTACTGAGCCATTCTATACTTCAGTGAAAAGGTACCAAAATAGATATGCTGTAATGAATTATTTCTATGTTTCAATACAATTTGCTTCAGCAAGGATTTGTCTCATTCTGAGGAATCAAAACAGAGGGGGAAGTTCAACAGAATTTGAACTGACTAAAATTTTGTATTACTTCTAGAGAAGATGTAGTTCTTCCTACTTACCCATTCTTTCAAATAATGAATGGATACTAAAACAATATCTATTTACTAGCATCATGTGGCACATGTTTGTTCTTTCAAGTTCATTTTCTTCTTGCTTACAGATTTTTTTCAGAATATAAACTTGTATCTTCTCAGCTGAGGGATCAACAAGCACTGGTAATTTTCAAATGAATGGCTTTGTTGGAAGCATTCAGAACAGTAAAAATACCATATGACCCTTCGTAGAAATATTTTCAAATATGTGATCCTCCTCTCTATGCATGAAGTCTGTCATTAATCATTTACATGCCTGTGCCACTACACACTTAGCAAAATCCTTTCATTATACTCTGACCTTCATCTTTATTATGCTCACTCATTCCACCAAATCTTATCAGTAATTTCAAATCTCTTATCACATTACTCATCTCAACCTCATCTATGTTATTTGAAAGATTTATTTAACACTTCCTCTTGAAATTATTTGCCTACAATTCAGATTTATTACATCTACATTGTAGCATTTGTATTGAACGATGTAGAGCTTCCCTTTATGGACCTGGGAATTCATCATCTCATTTTAGGAGACTGGACAGATACAGTTGCCAGTATTTCTGATTTTTTGGTGGTGTGCCCTGGCCATAAACGCACATTAGATTAATTCACAATTGTGTTATGAATTCTGCCACAAATCAGCACACTTTTATTTTCTACTGGATGATGGTTCAAGATCAGTACTGGTTTTGTCTACCCATACAAGACTTTTCAATGCATGATTTGCAGACAAAATCAGACCAGTTGCTCATTAAATCCAACATTTCATTAATGCATTTTATGGCCATCGTATATCTCAAAGAACAAAAATATGTATAATATAATTGAGCGCAAAATTACTCATGAATTTAAATCTAGTAATAGCACTCAGATTTGAATTCTTTGGTGATAAATCCAAACTGGTTTACATATGTCTTTTAGTTACTGCTTTAAAACCACAACAACATAGTATCTGGATATTAAAAGGCTAAAAGAATGATGGCCTACAGTCCTAGACTGACCAAGAGCAACTAGAAGCACACAACATTGTATTTGCATGTGGGATGTGATGAGAATGCTGAAATGAAGCAGCATGAAAGGATAATCTGTGATCTGATTTAATATGGAGGTGGTGAAGAGATCAACCTACTTTGCCTAAAAGTAGCTAGCTGGGAAACAAAAATCTGTTTCACAAACTAGTTTGAAATTTCCAAATTTGTTTTTCTTCAGGTACAGACTGTAATTATTTAAACATTTAATTTATATACACACAAACACCCCTAGCTCCAAGCTTCTTCCTTGCCAGACAACAGCAGCTTCTGCTTAACTCTGGTTTTGCACACACCAAACAAGTGGTCAGATGGCTTAGATATTAACACTTGTTTGTGTGCTCCAGGTGCACCTGAGATCATAATAGGCAGGCGAGAGTGGAGGAATTTTTCCAGTAAAAAAGTTGAAAGTATAAGGAAAAGGCATTTGTGCAGGAATAACCTGCACACTGCAATCAACATCACTCTACTGAAGGAGAAAATATATTTCCTAATGAAATAAATCAAATACTCCCATGTTCTCAAAGATTCATATTAAATGACAGTTCTGAATAAATGTGCAAGTACGGGATCATTCGAACCAGACAGTCACAAGACACCAAGTCTGAAACAGAACATAATAGAACAGATTGACTCCATCAAATTTTAGGTTTGTTTTGGCAGTTTGGGGGGTGCTTTTTAGATTTTTGAGTGTGGGGATTTGTTATTTTCTTTTAAACACAAATCTGAGAGTAAATCTTTAGGTCTCAGCCAGTCCAAAACTTTCTGTTTCTCAGATGAGTCCTTACTACCTCTTTGGAGATGCTTTGGGGGAAAAAAAAGTGCAAGAGGTAGAAGCTGAAGACACAAAACAAATGGAATATAGTGTGCACATCTGGACATAATTCCTTCTAAACACTCTTGCTCATCTGTGTAGTTGAAGGGGTACATGGTACTGCTGATTTTGGCATAAACCAAAAGGAAAGAAATGTCAAAAGAATATTTAGAAAATTAATCTATATATACAGATTATATCTATATCTATAGAGTAATATAAGAATATTAAACTATTTAGCAGAAAGTAAGAGAAACAAGATATGGTAAAAAGGCACATGTCTGAAACCAACCTCTGTGATAGCAACTAAAACAAAATGTAGCTCAAATACACAAAGTATTTTCAAAATATTGTAGACATAACTAATTGCAGGTGTAAGTAAGGAAAACAATATGATTAATTAAAATTTAAATCAATCAGTGTCATGGAAAAACAAAAACGGAAGTGCATAAACAACAAAGCATGGAAGCAGAGGATAATTAGGCTGGAAGGGACCTCTTCTAGACCTACCTGGTGCCCGAGACTGGTCCATTGAGGGCAAGTTGCTCAGACTATTCAGTTCAGTTTTAAATATACCCTGTGATGGCAATTCCACAGGTTCTCTGGACAATCTGTTCCACTGTTTGACTGCCCTTGCAGTATAATTTTTGTTTCCTCTTATCCTTTCACTAAACACTATTGACAAATCTGACTATGCCTTCTCATCCATCCTCCAGCATATTAGTTGATGGTAATAATGAAATCTCCCCTGAGCTTTCATTTCTTCAGTATGACCAAACCAATTTCCTTCAGCTTTTTCTTGTCCATCACATGTTCCAACCCTGTCAGCATCTTGGTGGACCTCCACAGGACTTGCTCCAGTACACCACTGTTTCTCACAATGTACTTCAGATGCCACCTCAAAAACAAACACTGCTGGCTCTACTCTTGCTACTGCAGTCTGGTATGCAGGTCACCTTCTCCACTGCATGAGCACATAACCACAGCTGGTTTGTATTCCAAGTCCTTGTCCATCAGCATCCCACATCTTTTTCTGAGAAGCTACTTTCTAGACACACACATCCCAGTTTATACTGCTGCTCAGGGTTATTCCATCCATGATGTAGGATTTTGAATTTGCCTGTGCTGAACTTCAAGAGGCTCCTCTCAGCCCATTCCTCGGTCCTATCCCTCTGAATAGCAGTCCTACTATCCAGAATACCAATCACTTCCCACAATTTGGTCTCACCTACAAATCTGAGAGAAATACTACCCCATCATCCAAGGCATTAGGAAATTCCCCTAAATGGCATCAATCTCAGTACCAGTCCCTTGAGCATGCCATTAAAGATAGACCTTCCAACTGGACTTTGCACTGCTAGTCACAATCCCCTGAATCCACCAACTGAGTCAAATTTACATACATCATCTTAGTCAGATCATACATCACTTAGTGAGTCCATATCTTATCAATTGAGTCATAAGGAAGCTGACAAAGGTTTTGCTAAAGTCATGGTATGAAACATCCATTGCTGTTTGTTCGGTTACAGGTTATTTCACCTAAGAGGACAACTGTGTTGATCTGATCAGACACATACAGTCATGTAAATCCATGCTTGATGTTCCAAATCACATTTTCCTCCATGTGACAAGGAACACCTTCCAGGAAAGTTCGTTCAATAATTCTTGCAGAGGGTGAGGTTAGGCTGATCAGATTGCCCTTCCTCAAAATCAATGAGGTATTTGCATTTTTCTAATCATCAGGAGCATCCCATAATCATTATGACCTTTCAGTGATGACAGAATGGCCTCAAAATGATATTAGTCTCCTCTTTCAGCACACCTAGAATCAATCCCATGTAGTGCCATGTATTTATGAATACATGGTTGCACTAAGAACACCCCAATTCTACCACTTTTATACGCAAAGCTGCACTCCCACATGCTGTTTCTAGACTTGGGTAGCTGTAAGAGTCGGTCACTCTCTTGAGAGTCTTACCAATTGAAGAGTATTATTAAGTCCATAAGGACAGATCCTTGACCCGAGTCATCTTATGGATGTATAAAATATTTCCTTGTCTGGCATGAGACCTGACAGTTTAGAATGCCCAACCTCCTCTTTGTCCCTCTAATGTGACAACCTATGGACCAACATGCACAAAACTTGTAGTAGGCACACATTTGAGGGGAGTGATGTGATGTCACCCCCCCATCTGGGATAAAGACAGAGAACTTGAGATCCTTAGGAGATGTCATGAATGCTATTTGAGACATACCACAGAGTCTGAAAAGCAAGCACAGGGCAGAAAGAAGGAACACAGTATGATGACAGGAACATCTCACAATACCTTTTGGCCACTGTTTCTAACAGTGAATATCTATAAATTGCTGTTATCCAGCAAATCTTGAGATTTGCAGATTGAGTGACTATAAGCATTTATTTGGATGTCTCTATTTATTCTCAAAAATGAATTAAAATCCACATGCTTCTTTTGAACAGACTTTAAAAATTCATGTGCCCATTGAGAGGTACAGTGGAATTTATGATCAAATTTGAGTGTTTTTGAAGCAGGGAATATGCTTCATGAAGATGAAACAGATAAATGTTCCATTTCTAGAAAAAAACAATCCTGAGAAAATCCTGTACAATGGGACACAGCTACCTCTAACATCCATTTTTACTTGTTGCTGTTATTTATTCTCAGTAAAGAATGTTTCATAAACATACAAGACTATTAATCACTCAAAAGCACAGTATTTATATTGCATAAATTTATCATGATTTACTTTACCTATTTCTGTGTAGTACTTTGACTTAGTGAGGTCACTAGGCAATATTCCTTTGATTCCTTTGAAGTCTAGACTTTCCCATCTTGCTTTTAGAAGAAAGACAATGAATTTTCTAATGCAGCATACTATATCTCTGTTCTCATCTGGTACACCTAGTCACACTCAGAGTTATAAAGATTTGGCTATTATAAAAATATCAAAAAGCTGCAAGAGTCAATAGAAGTAAATATCATTTTTCAATTTATTTTGGAGAAAAATCTTGTACAAACAATTCCCTGCATGCATAACTATATTTATATATGTATGTATATTATAGATATATTTATTAGTGAAAAAAACCCAACACTAAGATCAAGCTTAAAAATTAGATCTCTTCAATAGCCAGTACCTAGGAAGCATATCTCATTAAGGCTTGTTGTCTTCATTTTCACTAATTTTTTACAGGTAGCTGACAATATTCTCTTCAGATGTTCTATTTCTACTCTGCCTTTTCTTTTAGTGTACATTTAGATTCCTTCAGCAATTCCTTCAAGAACGGCACACCTGTTCTGCTGACACTACTCCCATACCTTGAACAGTATCTGTTCATAATGCATAGTTTTGAATTGCCTGACACACACAAAAAATCTATTAGGACCAATATCAACAGAACAGATTTTACATGTGCAAAATGGCAATGCAAACTAAAACATCAAACTATAATAAGTATCCAAACACAAAACAGTTAGTGCATGACACCCATATATTAGTCTGGTTTTTAATCAATCTATCTAGAATTCTTTTCTATCTACGGATGACAACAGAGGACATTATAAAATATTCATAATTCAAGTGAGATTAAGGCAAGAATCAAACTCTTCTAACACACATATATATAGACATTTCATCTGCTCACAGTTTGCTTTCCATTTTAAACCTTAGCCAAACGAAAAACAGACCACAGGTTAGAAACTATGCACAAATTACTAATGTAGTGAAACTTTCTTACATGACTTGGACTCCGGTGATGGTGGAGAAATGTTGGACACAGCAAGGTCGCTCTTTGACTTTTTAGGCTTTTTTGCATTTACCTGCCAAGGCTTATCATAACTTCTAAAATCTCTTCTTGCTCCTTTATTTTCTGTTAAAAGAATCAAGTTAGATAATCATAACATTTGTAGGATCATTTTTCAAAGACTTAACAAATAATTAATCAAAAAAAAACCCCAAGGTATATCAATCCAAATTACAGACAGGTCTTTTTTCTCCCCTCTTATTTCTGATTTCTTTTGTATTAATTTTGTTTATTCCACTTTTTAAGTATCAAAACTTAGAAATTATTATGTTTTTAATCCATAAAAGTCTATTTTTTGTTATGAAAAAGTCCTTAAGGTCCATGTTACGTACATGTTTTACTTCCTATGTTAAAACTGTGTACTTGATATAAACAATTGATTTTTCAGTAAATTAACATTTTGGCTATCAGCAACTATTTAAGCTCTATAGTCTGAAACAAATCATTAGCCAATTTGTAAACACAAAGCTAATATTGTAAGAGCAGCTAGTACCAGAATAAGAAAACCAAGACTTCTACATTACAATCAGAGCAGATACTATTTCAGAAGATTTTTTTAATGTTTCTGAAGATTTACAATCATAAATTATTCACGAGTTTATAAAGGAGTATAGCATTTTCTCATTAAGGGTTGGTATATATTTATAGGTATATAAAAATATGTATTATTGAAAAAAATACCTCAATAGAGGTTAATCTCAGGCACAAATACACCATGGGAGGGAAAAGGAAAACAAAGGAAAAGGACAGCACGGGAATCTCTCTCATTGAGACTGGGACTGTTTCCATGCTATAATTCTGATCTGTAACTATGATCTATATAATCCTCATCTATACTCCCATGATATATACATAGGCTGAGCTGACAGACAGCAATGTATATCAAAATTCTAATATCTGCTGGACAAACAGAATTTATTCTCCATGCTCAAAACCATAAAGCAGTACCTGTTCAGTAGGTACATGTGCATCCAGGAAATCATGGACATAAATGTGGCAACATTATACTGGAGACCAGCCCTTCCAGCACACAGAACATACCTGACGTTTCACTCTCTGCCCAGAGGGCAGCAGATCCAGACAATGTCCTCTGAAGCTGACCACGGTTTCCCTGCTTGGACTGAAGATGATCAATTAGAAATGGGATTGGCTGGTCAGGTGTCTCTGTTATCAGCTTGGTCATCAGCTCCTTTAGAAAATTAAACCAAAACAAAAAATTAGTGAGATATTGCACCTAAACTAATCCTGTAAATACCAAAAGAAAACAAGCATTTATAATGAAATATAAAGATTTGTTTTCAAATTTGAAGAAAACAGCTGGAACATCAACCTCCTCAAACTACTGCTAGCTCTGTCCTACAAGGTGTTTGTATGTGAAGTGTTCTCAGCCTATACAGGCTCTTATCCACTGGAACATACGTTAAAAAAGCCAAACTCTACTACCTGTTCGTATTTACCCCAAACAATAATACTGTCCATTTATCCACTCAGAACCAGCACCTCTTCAGAGCTGCAAGTAGCTCTTCTCTGACCAATACACCCAAGTTTCTTATTGGAAACTGGAGTGTCAGAAAAGTTTGAGATTTTTTCATCTCATCTAGACTAGATCAATTGTCTGGTTCAAATATGCATTCATATCTGGGAACGCCAATGTCTGATCAAACAGGTAGATAGTTTTAAAGCAAGTCCTCAAAGGTACTATAGTAGAAATAAACAAATTTTTTATTACACTTTTGCAGACACACATACAAAGCCAATGTCAACAGAAAAGTGTCTTCTATGCCACCCATTGGTATTATCCAGTTGCTGGTCTGCACCTTGGCTGTGCAGGTCTGCAGAAAAAGAAACACCACTATTGCTGCTGGGGTTCTTTCTGGATTCCAAGGCATATAACACATTAGGAATCCAGAAAGAAGCTGTGGCTCTGCTCTGCACTTGTGCTCTGAGAGGAAATTAATGACTCAGGGCAGGTGAGGTGACCCTGAAACCCATGTAGTTCTACAGAAGATCTGTGGCTACTGCTGCAAAATGAAAAAAGCTCCACAGAATAAAAAACTACAGGAATGTACAGCAAAATGAGAACAAAATAACAACAAACAAAAAAACAAACAAAAAAAACCCTCCCAAAACAACTAAATTATTCAGAGCATATATTCTCTCTTCACCTATCCCCAAGCATAAACCTTAACACAATTTATACACACTTCAGTCTATCCCCGCTTCATCTTTTCCACACACTTTCATTGAATAAAAAATTTTTCAAATGTCAGTAGTTACTTAGCATTACCATCAGTTAAGTGTGTTGGGAAAAGATACTTCAGAGGAAGTATATCAAATAGAAGTAAACATTAATAATTGCACACAGGATTATTAAGGCACAGCAAGTTCTCTTTGTCCACAAAATGGAAAAAATATGCCAAATATGGCTTGTGAAGACACAATCTTCTCCGATGTAATTTTTGATACTTATCCACAGTGAAATGAAAAACCCTGTGTGCTTGGTTTTGAACTGGAACTCCATAGGGAGAAATTAAGCTACTTACTAATCTTATAATTGTTGAAGCTATGGAGTCTAACTTCATCTAGACTGCCTCTTACCAAGGTACAAGAAACCCTCTGATATACATCATACAATAAAAATTCAGAAATTGGAGTAATTCATATTTTAGTTGCTTGGCAACACTAACAGCAAATTTTTATTCTTTTCCCTGCCAAAATGCAGAATTAGTGACAATGGAAAGTTGTAATCTAATGCTTATAATGGACCACAATAGCTGTAGTAATTCCACTGCAGAGGATTCTATTACCAAAGGAAAAGTGCCGATCTGTTACTGTTACTTGTTACCAAGCTTTTGTTACCAAGAAATTTAAATAATTTCTCAGAATCACAGTTTGAATTTTTTTTTCTTAAGATACATTGCGATATTAACATAACATTGAAAAAGGTAATACAGAAAAAAGAGAAATTTTAGAATGGCTGCATATCAATATAAGAGAAATTTTTGATTGTTGCCATAACTGAGTTGCCTGTAGCAGGAAGAAATTGTCTTTAAGTAAAAGAGACATATCTAATAAAACTGATTACAGGATTCCTTACCTCTTCTGAGATGTAGCAATAAACCTAAAGATCAAGGTGATGTGTAATTAGATCCTATTAAAAAGGACCACTTTTTGTACCTACTGTTATACTGATAATAAGACCTGAGTGATATAGAGGTCTGTGCTGTCTCGGATAATAATCATCCTATCCTGAGACAGCAGTTAGAAAATTTAAAAGAACTATAGAGAGAGGCTACTTTTATCTGGAATAACAAATGTGTTGTACCAATCCTGTATACCTAAAGTAAAAAAAAAATAGCAAAAATATTTAACATTGTTGAAATCCTCATAAACTGAAGAGTGTGAAGTTCAGAAAAAAAATACTTATTTGTGTAATAAGCCTCAAACTTAATTTGCCACAAGCACCCGCAGAGTGTCATTAAAAGAAAATGGCAACTTAAAATTAACATAAAGGCAATTCAGGTTACAAAATTGACCATTTAAGGAAGACAAAGCACTTTGCTACAAGCATTCCACTGCAAATCCTGAAAAAAAATAATTTTTAGGAATCTGCTTCTCAAGCTGCTTCAAGCACAGTTTGGAAGCGGTCTCAAATTTACCACTTTCCATGGAGTTCCTGAACTGTGGACAAAGGGCAAAGAACACCTCCACTCCAATAACAATAGCTTCAGATGTATACTTTGTGTAAATTCACATTCACATGCTGAAGGTGTTATCTCTCTTCCATATCCTTCTGCCTCACACACTATCAGAGACGTCCCAGAAATATGATCACAGCTCCATGACACTCACTGCCTTTTTCCTACTACCAGTTTCTGATACCCAGTTCATCAAGGGACACAACTCCATCTGCTCAGCTCTCAACCTCTGCTCTTCAAGCTCATGACTTTTGTCATCCCAAACAAATTGGCAATTACATGGAAATATGCTAGCTGCCTGTGTTCAGTTGTTTGGCTGTGCCATCAGGTGGAAGGGCTTGAGGGGCAAAAAAAAATAAAATAAAACCAAACCCAAGCCACCCAACAAAAAAAAAGCACAAAGCTTCACACCAACATTAACTGTACAAAGTGAGCACTCACACAGACATTTCTCTGGAGGTGAAAAGATATTACAGATTAGGAATGTCATCTAAAGGGTATTCTCATTCTAGCACCATTCTCTAGCAAAACTAACTAATTTAAATTTCTGATTCAATGATCCAAAGTTTATTTGATGATCTCATCTGTTGCTCAGGTGACATCTTAATAGACAGTAGGAATAACATACTACATGGCACTCTAAATATACTTTCACACATTTGAAATGTCTTTTTTTTAAAAAAAAAGATGACAAAAGTGAATGCATTAAATAAGAAAAACTGAAGCATACAAGGTACAAAAATAAAATTCCTTTTTGGTGAGCAGCAGTCTGATCTGACTCACAGTGTGCTAAGTAGGCAAGGTTTCACAAGAAAAAGAAAAGGGAAAAGACCAACTAGTCTCACTGAAGACGCCTCTGCATTAGCAGCACAAGATCACTGACACTGAGATTCATTTTTTCATGAAAAAATCATCAGGTAAGTTTCAACTCTTCATAAAAACATAAATGCAGGATACATAAAGACAAATCTCTTAAAAATATTAATTATGCTTTCCACATTTCTAGCTCAAATTTCTAAGTTTTCTAAAACTCAAATAAGGCAAGTCTTTTGTGCACAATGTGCTTTATAACAACAAATAAAAAGCCATGGCAGATTTGGTCTCCATGCTGCCAAATAAACTGTTCACTACTCATAATCTCTCTCCTCCTATCTTCTTTCTACTGGTATGTCTTCCTTTCACTCTATGTCCTTTTGTCTTTTCTATCAGTGGACTCCACACAGTCTCTTCCTCCCAGCTGTGTAACAACTGAAGAGGCCGTTCAGAAGTCAGTAATTATGAATTCCCTGTGCACCCTCAAGACACACTGGAGCACAGAAAAGGGGCCAAAGGAAACTTCCATGGTTACTACAGACTAGAGCACTCAGATGAATACATCAGTTTCTGCTGTTTCCCAATTGTATTGCCCCAAATTAGGCTCTGCCTTGTCTGAAGGCAGAATGAGAAAGAACAGCAAAGTGATATAAGCTCTTTCATTTAACTGCTTCAAGGATTTTACCTTGCACTACACAAATCAGTTCTTCTTTCTTCATGCCCTGTAAAGGTATCTTCATATGCTTCTACATTCACTAGTTTTATTGAACTATGTTACTTAGACTCTTTAAAAAAAAAACACTTAAAAATTCATTTGTGGATATTTCCAACAGAGATTCATGCACGTGTAATGAGGCTGTAAAAGATCTTGAAAAAAATACCAGGTGTAAAGTAGTAGTTTAATATGTTAATTATTTATAAGAAATATACAGAATTTACAAATAATAATTTATAAAGAATTCTTTGTATCTTTCACTATTGTGCTGTCCTGAAGTCCTCTATTAGTTATTCAATGAAGGCTCAAATTTTAATTTTCTTGTAAGTGTCCATGCATTTAATACAAATGGAACAGTCTTCACAGTCTATTAATCATAGGCCCAATTACAAGAAAGTCCTAATTAGCCCTGTCTAAATGTACCTATCAGGTTATTAAGTTAATTAAGAGACATTCTATCTTGCCCTGGTAATTGGTAACAGTAACTACACAGCAATCACATTTTAACTGTACAGACTTTCATAGATTATGGCACAGCATGCACAGATTCTGGCTGTGTTACACTCTTTTTTTCATGAATTAAATTAAATTAAGTTAAATACAGCAAGTCTTCACAGCTATGTCAGCAGTGACTTTGTCAATAAAGAAGTCATGAGAGGCTAGGTGTTTCCCAGGTGACCAGCCAGAGTATGTCCACTTAGGATAAGAATTGCTCTCCTGGCTCCACTGACTTATTGGAGATACATGCATTGGCTACAGTGAAGCTTGGATACTTAGATATCTAAATTTAGACTTGCTAACCCCTTCATACAGGCTGTAAATGAACAAAGTAGGTATAAAATTGAGAGAAAACTTGTGGAAGAATAGGTTTAAGAAACTTTTTAATGACTGAGACTTTTGTGTTAGAATTCCATTTTGATTACTGCAGTAACAAAGCAAGGAAACAACAATAAATATTTTTTTTAAAAGTTTATTTTAATATTATTCTTATTGCCTAAATTAAGAGTCTGCAATGAACATTTCATAGAACGAGAATAACAGGAGGAAGTATGAAAACAAACACTGAATAGCTATCTTTCTTAAGTGTTCATCTACTAAATATCTGTACCAATTCAATAAGAAAAGACTAATTTTGGGGGCTATGTTACTAACCATTTTTTTAGGGGTACTCTGGAGTGTAGAATGGAAACAATAGACTCGTTCCACTATATATCCTTCACTTCAAGTTTCCTGACTTGGATGAACTAGCTCTATCTTGAATAATTCCAACTCATGCTTGTAATACTTAATAAAATATGCATCATTGTTCTTACTTAGGAATGAATGGGACCTGGTGGACAATTTCAAAGTTTCACTGAATAAGTTCATGACACTTTATCAAAATTCACCACACAGATTATAACATGCAATATCTATCTGAATCTCTTGCTGCATCTTTTCACTTATTTATCCTTTGAGGCTTTTTCCTATCCTAATCTTAGTATTTCAAATATCATTGTCCCGAATCTATTTTACCACTCCTGAATTCACAAAATAGCTTCAAACACCAGTTTGTGGCTTTATTGAAATACTTCCTTTCTCCCATTCAAGCATTCCAAGAATGCTATCAAGAGAGAAGTCACTGCTCCTAGGTTATTCTAAAGCATTAAATAATTCTCAGGAGAAGAAGAAAAGACTAAAGACATGCTCACAGAGATGCTAACCATGACAACAGTTATCATGTTTTCTCCCATAGTTTAGTTTTCAAATCACGAAGATTTCTTATGATAGCTTATAGTTCTTTCTGCAATCCCGTATCTCTGCATGACAATCTCACACTTGTGGAATTATGCCTACCATATCATTATCTGAACACAGCAAGGATTTATCAAATGAGAGTAGTTCATGTTATTGCAGAAACACTGTAAGGTTTCCCTGAAGCATAATTCAGCAGCCTTCCTCAGTTTCCATCCACTCTATCAACCTCTGAAATTCTTCCCTCAAGGCATGCACTTCACAGTTCAGCCAAAGAAAATGAAAACTGCTTTTTCTCTGAAAGGTCTGTAGGATTTACATCAAAATAAATACTCATAGATAAAGACTAGGAAAGACTATTACAACCTGGCTTAAATTACAGCCATAAAACAACATTGACTGCACATCACTGCCTTACCTACAAGCTAATTCAATAGGTGGGAGCCGATCTTCCTCTGATCAGCTGAAGTAATCTTATTTCAATTTCAAGGTCTAAGTTCCACCATGTGCAATGACTCATTACTGCAACTGTTAAAAAAAAATCTCATCATATTTCCAGTTTAAGCTTCACTGACTTAGCTTCAACCTGTTTGACAGGATTTTTTTTTTGAGGAAGGGTAATTCAAGAAACTAAAGTAGAAGGTATTTTTGTGGCTACCTGTGGTAAGCTGACCCCAACCAGCAGCTAAGCATGCACCAGCCACTTATTCATTCCCACCCTCAGTGGGATGGGGAAAAAGTAAGAGCAAAACCAAGAAAAAATCATGGGTCAAGATAAAGACAGCTTAATAACCACAGGAAAGAGAAAAGAAAAAAAAATAAATCAAAGAACAAGTGATACCAAGGCAATCACTCACCACCTCCCACTGCCTTACCAATTTGCAATCAACAGTTATTTCAGAAAATTTACTCCCAGGTTTAATTGCTGAGCATGACATTATAAGGTAAGGAATATCTCTTTGCCCAGCTGGGTCAGCTATTCCAGCTGTGTCCCCTCCCAGCCTGTCCCCATCCTGGGCCTGCTTGTTGGTGGGCAAGCGGAAACAGAGAAAGCCTGTGCTCAATCACTGCTAAGCAACAGCTAGAAGACCAGTGTACCAACACTGTTTCAGTCACAAATCTGAAAAGCACCAACATACAGGCTTCCTGTGAAGAAAATCCAGTCCCTATCAGACCCAGTACAGTACCACTGTAGAAAGGGTTATTAAAGTTTTATAAATGGTGATCAGGAAAGAGCCATATATGAAAAAAAACAATTAAGGAGTTGACTCAGCAAAGCCCTAAGGCTAAGATATTTTTTATTCCTGAGAAATAAATAATTACAAAGCCATGGGCATGCTTAAAATGCCTTGATGAATTAGACCGCTGCTCTGTGACTGTAGAATTACAAACACTCCCTTCCTTCTTTCTGGAAGCCTACCAAAAAAAAAAAAAAAAGAAGTAAATTAATGTTTTGAAGATTGATGGAAATCCTTTCAATTGCATCCCATTTAAAACTTTGATAATACACGTTTTAAAAATTTGTGCAGCAACCACTGCACTTCCCAGGTGCTTTTCTTTCTCTTCCCAAACACTCCCCCAGTAACTCTGCATTACTACACAATTAGATTTAATCAAGGTATACAGAAAGATAAATGTGAGATGATGTTCTAAAACATTCTACTGTCCAGTGTGTATAGCCAAAGTTATTAAACATTGTGTAACTCCTATGCCTCAAAATTATTATAAAAATTGATTTTATATTTTTTCTACTCTTGACCAAGCATTTTTAAACTATTCACATGGAATTTCAAATAATAACCAGCAATTACAGTGACACAAAATGGGGAATGTGAGTTACCAGAATCCAGGGTGGGGAGGTTCTAACACAGATTTAATTACCTGGACTTCAGCTGCCTAAAGAAATTAACCCTAATTTTGCTCCAGTAATGTTCACTAAACAAATGTCAACGAAGTTAACTTATGCTCCCTGACTGTTAGAAATTAAATCCTGTCATTTGGAAAAGTTCCTTTAGTACAGCAACTAAACAACTACAAGCAATATGCAGTATAATTACAAGCTTTATTCATACACTTTGAATAGATTAGTATCTATTCAGATACACATCTTAATTTCCTGTTATTTACCTGTGAGAGATTAACTTGGTCTCATAAGAGTTCATACCAATGTTGTAATCAGCTTTTTAAATAGACCTAATCTTTAATATGCAACAATACATCAGAGATTTCTGAACTGGAAAGGTCAGAATTTATTGCCATGGAAAAATCTGGAAAGAAATTTTCACCCCAGCAAAATAAAAAGAGGTTTTTTTATATTTGTAAAATTTATATACTGCAATTGTTTCCAGAACTCCTTAAATAATACTAACAAGTGCTTTTTATATAGCATTTGAAGAAGACAAAGAGGTTGTTTCACACATAAGGTGTTGCTTGATTGACTTAAAACTACTTGTATCTTACTTTCACCCCCCACAGGAGAGGTCTAACTGAGTTGCCTGTCACAGGTAGCACAAGATGTGCAGTATGGTGTCAGGAGAACCACTGCAGACATTCTGCAAGCTCCCAAATGCTTCTGAGAACACTTAGTCATGTTCACTTTGGTTCCACACTGCTATACTCAGCGCTCCTCTAAATGTAACTGGAAAATCTTTTTACTATTACAAGTAACACTTTTACATTAAGTTATTTCAACCCATGTCCACTTACATATAGATGAAGCTTTTGCTTAATTAACACACTTGAACTTTGCTATTTGAAAAGAAAGAAAAGCAAAACCCACAATGAAATTGGAATGAAAGAATTGGTCTCTTTAAATACAAGAACACAAGAATATTTTGCCATGCAGAAGCCATCAGTCCACAGATGTAACAAAACTTGATTATAAATGCATTAATAATATTCTAGTAAATATCTAAATAACCATGTTAACTAATAGAAAATAAATATTGACTGATTTGTTTTTATATTTTAGAGATCTTCCCCCATTTTGTGTACTATCATCTATTTAATGTTACTACATGATATTTGGAACTATTTCATTTTTAAAAGATATCAGTGTACCTGAGCCTATCTTCAGCCCCAGCCAGGAAGACACCTTAATTTATCCAGTTCAACTGGAAGCAAAATCCACCTCTGATAGCTTCCATATGGATTTTTATCATACATCAGTTAAGCCAAAACTACCTCTAAGATTTTCTTCATCAGCAACCAAGATAACAAAGAAAATGCTTCAATGATTTTTTTTCTCTTAACATTGTTCGCAAAGTTCTGATAAATTTCTAACATTCTCTGCCTTCATAGATTATCTCTTTATTTCAAGTCAAATTAAAATAGATATTTATTCTACTTAAGGCATAAAAAATTCTGAGAATGATGATCCAATCATAGTCAGACTAAAAGAAAAATAAAAATTGAAGATTAGAAACACATAGGGAAAAAGACATACAGGTGTCCATTTTGACCTAAACAGTGCAGCAGGCTTGAAGTATACAGGTTTAGAACACAATATGAACTGTGAAGAATCAGGTAGGAGAGACAGAGCAGCAAAATTACATGGAAAAGAAAACAACACTGACTGCTGAGGTACCCGTGTTCTACATGTCTCCAGCCACTTCTCTGGGTTCCCAAGCTGCTTCCCACTGGCACTACCAGGTTCATTGCTCTGCCTCAGCCCTAAGAAATTGAAGTCACTGCCCGTCTCCATCTAAAAATGGCTGCAACTTGAGGAAGCACTCCCAGGCTGCGGTCCGGGATTCTCCCAGAAATCAGGCCCTTCAGGGTCAGGGTTTCAAAACACACACACCTGGCAAGGCTGAGGTCTGAGCCCATGAGATGACACTACCTGCTGAAGATGAGCACCACACTGCCCAGCTGGCTACTCCTATGACAAAACCTACGCTCGCAAAGCAGGCATCAAGACTACCCTGCTGAAAATGCATGGTCCAAGATCCTCTCCACAGATTTACTTGTTCACCCTCATTTACTGGCTGTGTGCTGCCTTGGAATAAGACTCAAAACTCATCAGGCAAGTCTCTTTTGCAACATGTCCGGACAATTTCTGTCACAATAGGGTACCTTTGCCTCGCTACAGCCAGAAAATGAAAATACAATATGAAGACAATAGAGATTTGCAGCAGACAATTGATTTAGCTTCATATAGGAAAGACAATATTTTGCATTCTGTTTGAACATCTTGAAATGTACCCAGAAAAAAGACACAACCATATTCCCCAGAAGGCATGGAAAAACAAAATGTCAGGCATAATTCAGTAGTCATAATCAGAGCAGCACAGATATCTAAATAATATTTAGCTTTGTTCATTTAAGAACAAAGCTAAACATTTTATTTTAATCCAGCAGTATGTAATGTAAAAAAATCATTCTAAACATGTGTATCAGCACAGTACTGCATTAACTTATTTCCACAACCAAAAATCAATTCCCTGTGCCTAGACACAGCTGCAACATCCTGTGTGTAACTGTTACTTGAATGCTCTTTTATACAAAGTTTTGGCTACTAAAGGCACAAAGCAAAAAAAACAAACAAAAACCAAACCAAAACAAAAAACACACCCAAATATATATATATATACACACACACATATATACATATATACATATATATACACACACACACATATATATATAGCTTTAACAAGTGCACAAGTACATATCCCCATAAAACTTCTGCACAGAAATCCTTAGAGGAAAGTTGTTCTATAATCATGTGCAGAAAAGCATTCTTCAGCAAAAGACAACTGATGAGCAGAAGTGAATACAGTTGAACTGTATGAGGAAAAACACCAAACTTCATTAATCACATACAGTAGATATATCATGGATTACACCCAGGCACATGTTTAACAGAAGAGTGGTCTAAGGTGATTATTTGTTTCATTAGAACTAACTTGCATGCCTAAATTCTTAAAACAAACCTCACCTAAGGAAGTAATGCCAAAGAACTCACAGTAGCTCCGAAGAGCAGTTGAAAATGGAGAACTGTGTCAATATCAAGCTAAAAAAAAAAAAAAAGGCTCTGAAATAAGAGGATGTCAGACACCACTATTTGACCTCTGAGGCCAAGTGCATTGGTTACACAGGCTTTAGGCTGACACTTCTATCATGCCCACAAATAAAGTAGGTCTGAGATAATGGGGACAGCTAAATAAATACTAGCTTACATAAGCTGGATTCACTTTCCACTCTGTAAATTACAGATTAGCTAAACTATACATGTGATGGCAATATTAAAGCCATTTTTATATAATGCAAAGCATAATTACAAAATAAGAAAAAAATAAAATTATCAGTCTCTGTGTACCAAAAATAAAAACTAATGAATATATTTTTCCTGAAAGAAAAATTAGAAAAAAAAAAAATTCAAAGACATAAAAACCTGTGAGTACTAATAATTATATCATATAGACCAACTTACTAAAGTCACTTTCTAGCCCAAACAAGGTAACTTTAACACATACACAGAACTGGTGTGTTTCTTGAAAGTGT